AATGTAAACATAATCAATTGTCAAGCTTCCATGATCAATCAAGTCACCCTTAGTTCATAATTTAGGAAGAAAGGGAAATCATGGGTCCAAGGGAGATTTTCATCAAAATCCAACAATACTCCATTAATCCAATCATAAATCATCATAAACAAACATAATAAACCATAATTAAATAATTGAAATCGTTTTGGAAGGAGACCCATGACTAGAGTGAAACCCTAGGTTTTTGGAAGTCTTAAAACATAGTTTGAAGGGGCTTCTTGGGTGATAGCTACCCAAGAATGAAAATCATCCATACCTTAGCTTGATTTCCACAAGAAATAGGAGAAGAAAGGATGGTTCTTGAACCCCTAGCTTGAACTTGGCCTTGCTCTTCAATGGAGTCCTAGAGAGAATTTTTGGAGATGAGAGTTGGTTTCTAATTTGAGTCTTGTGAGTTATGAGCTCCTATGTGGAGTTTAATGACTTAGAAGTATTTATATAGGTCTAAAATAACTAATAATAACCATCCCCACCCTTAATTAATTGATTAAGAATTTACGAAACTACCCCTCACTTGGCCGAACTCAAGACAGCTTTTGCAGAGGGGACCTACGCCCCACCACCCACTGACCGTAGGTGGGCTCACACCCCGTCCTGCAGGTCCGTGGTTTGGGTCTGCATCCCATCTTCTTGGCCAACTCAAGCCACCCACTCACGAGACCCCACCTATGGGGCGTGAGTGGCTCTACGAATCGTGATGTCATCTCGTGAAATGTTACTGGAACTTGGATGCTTAACATACTTAACAAATTTCCAGATTTTTATATTCTTTCCAAAAATGGTTATTTCCAATTCTTAACTTCTTCCTAGTTATTTCAAATTGGCGAGATGTTACACCCACGCTGCCAGAACTGTCTTATACTTTGTCATCATATAGAACGCCTTATCAAAGTGGATCCACTAGTCTATGCTAAAAAACACTAAGGAATCATCTAAAAAGTATGATCCTTTCTACACATGATGGCTAGATGGTTAATGGAGACTTGAGTTATTATGAACTTGCATTCCCATATCGGTGCTCAATACTTCTCCCAAAATATACTTAGCTCATATGTTTTTAAAACAAAACTCTTTCTTTGGTTTGAGATAATTACTCAAAACTTAGCTTAAAAGCTCTCTTTGAAATCAATGTTTCCTTTCTTACTCAAATGTGAAAACATTTTAAATTTTGGGAATACTTAGTTCCTGTATAATCTTTGAAGAAATGAACTCTTACTCTTATTCATTAGTCAACTCAAAGCTTAAGTCTTAAAACGAAGTTAAAACGTTTGTAAAAGAGTTTTGAAAAACTCTATGAACTTCTCTTGACTTGATTCTTAACTTCTTAACTTGACTCTTAACTTTCCTCAAATTGAATTATGGATTCAAGGCTCATGATCTCATGTTTATAGATGATTTCATGATGTTTAGATGCACCTTGGAGTGTTGGAATCAACTAGGAAACATAGGTACGTTGCTAAGGAACTAGTACAGAAAGAAGGGGGAGAAGTGGGAAGAATTGGTGTCCCTAGCGCTCTGAGAGGCGCGGGGCACCAGCCTTTAAACTTCAGAGGATGGGGTGGGGCATACTGGCTGGCGCGGCGCCCCAGAGCCCATACTTCGGTGCCCCACTTGGGGCTCTATGGCTGGGGCGGAACGCTAGACCCTTGCCCAGGTGAACTCCGACTTTTCTCCTTCGTTTTTCAACTCTAAACCCCATATTTCAACTTAGTTCTTTCCCCAAACACTTAAAATCAAATATACCCTCAATATATACAAGATTCAACTCGAAATCACACCTAAATACATGAATCAACCTCAACAAACTTCAACAACAAGAACCCACAAGAATTCAAACGAATTAATATCAAGAACTCATAGGATTTGCTTTCAAAACTATACAACTTCGCTGAATTGAATCATGATTGGCACATGGGTGAACTAACTCAACACTATGTGATCTCACATACCTCGTAGGGATTAACCCTTGGCGAAATCCACACGAAAATCTCCAAGAAATAGTCGAATCTTTGAACTTTCTTCTCCTTTCTCCTCTTTTCTCTTTTCTCTTTTCTCCAAGCCCTAGCCTGAATTTCCAATTTTCTAAACTGATCTAATTCTGATTATACCCCAAATAAACTCCTAAAAATAAATTAAATTAATTGGGAAAGGAAAAGTTTAAAATAACCTTCTAAAATCCGGTTTAGACTTTCCTTATTTGAACAACCCAACTTCAAATAGGCATATATCACTCATACGAACTCGGAATAGCGCGAACTTGGCGGCGTTGGAAAGATAATTCCAAGATCTTTTCTACGGTATCTGGAACCACACCTAAATCATTCTGAGCTAGGAGTTATGCTTGTTTGAAGTTGACCCAAAACTCAAATTTAACATAACTTAACAAATTTCCAGATTTTTCATTCTTTCCTAAAATGATTATTTCCAATTCTAAGTCTTTCTAGCTCTTTCAAAAAGGCTAGGTTAATCTCTTCATTCACACAAGTTTCATGTTCCTTGTCATGTCTTTCCCTTATCTACGCTATAAGAAAGTCTACAAGTAATGTAAGTAAAAATGAAAGAACAAACAACAATCACATATAGAGTATAATTATCACATACAATAGTTTTGTGAGTTAAATTTAATGGGTTAATAAGGTCACAATTTAAACCTAGTTGAATCTTTGTTCTTTCCATATTCATGCTACAATTATGAGAAAAAATATGTCATATTATAACATTGCAAATGGATATTTAATGGCTAAAAGGTCACAATTTAAACCTAGTAAAATCTTCCGTCATTTTTTATCAACCATAGAAGTAAATATGTCATACTAAATATATTCTTTGCGAGCTAAAAGTTTAACAGATCACAACTTAAGCTTAGTTGAAGTTCAATCATCTTTTATTTAAAACCTATGTGTAAATTATGTCATATTGCAAGTTAAAAAATTTAACGGTGAGAAGGTCACAATTTAAATCTAGTTGTATTGTTAATCATTTTTAATGAATTATATAAGTAAATTTATGTTATACTATAAATATTACTTGCGTGCTAAAAATTTAACGGCCAAAATCTCACTATTTAAACCGAATTATCTCTTTTATCTTATTTTATGAACCATAGTAAGTTTATGTCATACAATATCTTTTGCAAGTTAGTAAGCTTAGCATACAAAATATCGCAATTAAAATCTAGCCGAATCTTCTATCCTTAACCATATACGAAAAGGAAGTTAATATCTCCAAAGGTCACTCAACTTTGAAAATTTATCTAGTAAAATCATTAAACTTTGTTTTGTATCAATAAAATCACTCAACTTACACATTTGTATCAATAGAATCACTCTTAATGCTTTTTTGACTTGTCTACCACAACATACCCTAAAATGTGAATTTCATCATCTTCTTTCTTTTTTTCTCCCACAATTCTCGTCAAAGCTAATGAACTGACTAAATGAATTAGCTTTTAACAAACATAAAAATCAAATCAATTCTATTCATACTAATTAAAGACTATTCAAGTTAATAATTTGACAATCTATGACGAGATCTAATTCCATCAACAAACACCATCTCCCAGACAAGCCAAATAAAGTTCTTATATATTATTCTTAATTTTAATCCCAACACATTTTAGCTGAACTTCACAATATCTTTTCTTTTCTTTTTTGGGTCTCTTAATTTTATTTTATTTTGAAAAAACTCTTTATAACTAAATTAATCATAAGCAAACAAAAAAATATTAATTCCATGAGTTGCTAGAGTGAGGTAAAGTTTTAACCAAAATACATGGTAACAAATTCACGGAATTAAGAGTGATTTTATTGATACAAAGATCAAAGTTGGGAGATTTTATTGATATAAAGGTCTAAGTTGAGTGATTTTTTTTATACAAAATAAAGTTCAATGACTTTGCTAGATAAATTCTTAAAATTTAGTGATCTTTAGAAATAGTAACTCTAAGAAAACGCAAATAATTTTCACCACTGAACTCATTGCAAAGAGAAAAATAAAAAATGAATTTTCTCTCCCAAGTCCCATTTCCTCTCTTCCAGAAATTGGAGTGATTACACTTTATTTAAGGAAGAAAATAATTAATAATCTTGATCCAAGAAATGTTATATATGTGGGTATAACTTCTTCTTTTCTTTTTCTGTTTTTGATTTTCTTTTTCATATATATATATATATATATTAAATGTTATCCAAGGAAAACAACATGTTTTTTTAAAGCATTTGAATATAACGAAGAAAAAAGTACGCCCTTCAATAGTTAAACCACATAAAGTAAAAATCTTAGTTGAGCGAAGAAATTTCAACCTGCCTAGCGATATTTGGATTAAATATCTTCTTTAATTTCTCAAGAAAATAATATCTTCTCCCCTAAACATTCATTCATCATCATTTTGTATTTATTTTTCCATCATGATTATAAATTTTGGTTACAATACAACTCGATTAAGGATTTTAAAATCAATACATAAATGAAGGAAAGTAATATATTTAGTGTTTGTGCAATTAATTAACGATTATAACTCAATTACCACTATGTATGTATTTTTAGCGGCAATGAGCACACTTTGTAGATGTTTCTAAAGGCTTTAGCGACATTGGATCTGATGGCTCTAAACTAATGTCATGCTTAGAAATTTATTTTGAAACTGAAGTGTAGACATATCTACTTATAATTAAACTCTTACTAGCAAGATTAGATCAAAGAAGATGACAATAATTGGATTGATCAAGGCGGCTCTATTGCCTGATAAATTCGATACATAAAAAGTATTTTCTTAGAGTAAATATGAAGAATAACTTTAATTAACCTTCTATGTGAAAAAACTAGACAAAGCATATTCAGTAAGCAAAATAAATTACAGCCTTTTTGACAAAGAAAGAAAGTAAAGTTGGAAGTATAAATATACTCCAATAAGATGGATCTTAACAGACTTATAAATAGTAGACATTGATCATATATCTTTACAAGTTGTTGTTGTGGTGGTGATTTGGATCTTGTACATTAATGTTGAATGATGTATCATCAAGTAAAGTCATTATCTCATCATCATTCAAACTTAGTAACTCAGAAAATGAAGGACTCCGTGGAATGCCTAATGAGCCATCAACATTGTTATCCATTGGCACTGATGCACTCATGGAAGGGATATTCATCAAAGGGTCTATTTGTGGTGCCGTTGGAGGAAACACTAAATTAGACATTATTGGAGGAGTAATCATCGGTGAAGGCATTGGATAAGCCATTGTTGTTGGAAGGATTGGATAGGCCATTTCAGGATACCTTTGTAAAGATAACAAAGAAGGAACCTGCGAAAGATCCATAAGTGGAACCATTTGAGGAGGATTCCTCAAAGGGAAGATGAATTGAGGCATTTGAGCAGGAGCGTTTGAAGGAACCATCAATGGAGCCGTCAGAGGAACCATTGATGTTGGAGTTATATCACGAACCAAATTAAGAGGAGCTATTGGCCTCTCGAAGTTGGTCCCACTAGATATAGTAGATGAAACCAAAAGAGGAATCTCGGATAGTACTGGAGAATCAACAGGGGCCAAAAGAGGAGCCCATGACATCTCAAAGTTGGTCCCACCAGAATCCATCGGTCCAGCAATAGGTTGAGGAGCATTTGATGTAGAACCTTCTTCATGAGTTTTTGCTTTGATCCCATCATTTATCAGTTTGAGTTTTTTATTGATCACATAACAGAGATCGTTGAGATCTTCTGGGTGCCTACTATTGGGCATCTCTTCACCATTCAACAATCCATACATCTGGTTTGTATACTCCATTTTCTTGTTTTCCTTCCTTACCTTCTCAAGTTCCTTCTCAATTTTCTCGATCCTTTTCGTGGTTATCTTTTCTAGTGTTTTCATGTTTTTTGATTTCTTCTCCTCTGGAAGATCGATAAACTTTGTAAAGATCCCGGTAGCAGCTTCATGATTTGGAAACACCTCAGGTTCATTGTGGTAAGGGCTATTGACTAAGGTAGCCAATTCAACATCGCAAAGGGTGTTGAGTTCACGAGCCTTGGTTAAAAATCCCTTTTGTCGTTTTCTATATGAGACTCTCCTCTCAGTGTTATTTTCAATGAAAGCCAACTTCACTTTCTTTCTAACCATGGTTAAAAATGAGGAAGAGGAGGAGAAATGTGTTTATTAGGATATGGGGGATGAAATGGATTTATTATTCTTATTGTTGTTGTGTGTTTCTTTGCTAAGAATTGCCTTCTATTTATAGGGTGCAAATAATTTTTTAAATAAATTGAATTAGAGAATACTTAGTTGTCATGGGTACTATTTTGGCATAAAAATAAATGAGGGTAGATTTGATATTAAATTAGATTCCATCATCTTGAGATTAATATAGTTATGACTCTAGTCTTATGTTGAACAAATCTTTTTTAGTCAAAATTTTCTTATTAGAAAAATAATTTAATTGATTTAGATTTAAGTAAGTATTATCTATATGAAAAACACTGACCATAGAGTATTAACAAATGTTTTTTTAAAGAAAGTTTGAAAAATTGTATATTTTAATTCATGAATGTAAAAGGATAAATATTGAAACAAGTGAAAATTTGAAATATTGGCCAAAAAAATTTGAAATATTAATTTTTAAAATATTTGAATAATATAATAAAAATTAATTTCATTATTAATAAAATTCAAATATTTATTGAATATAAAATGAAGATATGTGTATGATTATTGCCATTGCAATGCTTATAAAAGCATATTATAGTTTTTTCCAATTTTGGAAGAAACCATATTTAGTAGAAATTTTATATTGCTTTCAATTATATTAAAAATCAAATCAGGCTCAAATTTTAATTTTTTTAAATTAAAAAAAAATCTAAATCAGTTTCAAGGAAAATCAGTACATAAATAATTGCACAAGACACTTACCAAACTAATGCGTTTACACATATTGAGGAAATAACAAAGAATTTTGTTTCATTTTAAGAATAGTATTCAATTATATTAAAATTCAAATCATTCTCAAATTTTGTTTTTGTTACATTAAAAAAATTCTAAATTAGTTTCGAGCAAAAGCAATACATAAAATAATTGCACAAAACACTTACCAAACTATTGTGTTTACACATATTGAGGAAAGAAAAGTGAATTTTGTTTCATTTTAAGAATAATATTCAATTATATTAAAAATCAAATCATGCTCGAATTTAATTTTTTTACATTAAGAAAGAATTCTAAATTAGTTTCGAGCAAAAACAATACATAAAATAATTGCACAAGATACTTATCAAACTTATGTGTTTACACATATTGAGAAAAGAAAAGAGAATTTTGTTTCATTTTAAGAATAGTATTCAACTATATTTAAAATCAAATCATTCCCAAATTTGTTTTTGTTACATTAAAAAAAATTCCAAATTAGTTTCGAGCAAAAGCAATACATAAAATAATTGCATAAGACACTTACCTAACTAATGTGTTTACACATATTGAGGAAAGAAAAGTGAATTTTGTTTCATTTTAAGAATAGTATTCAATTATATTAAAAATTAAATCATGCTCAAATTTTGTTTTTGTTACATTAAAAAAATTTCTAGATTAGTTTCGAGTAAAAACAGATTATTTTTTTTCATTTTAAGATCAGTGTTCGATTATATTAAAAATCAAGCCATGCTCAAATTTTATTTTTGTTACATTAAAAAAATTTCTAAATTAGTTTCGAAGAAAAGAAATACATAAAATAATTTCACAAGACACTTACCAAATTAATGTGTTTACACATATTGACGATAGAAAAGAGATTTTTATTTCATTTTAAGAATAGTACTCAAGAAGAAGATGAGGAAATAGACGTAGACTATCTTACTAATATTTTATGAAATGAAAATAGACATTTTATGATGATTTTTTCTCCCATATGTTCACTAAGTTAAATTTTAATTATCTTAGGCTCTATATTTAAATTTATCAGATCTTTTCTATTTAATGTCTATCTGTATAAGTCCACGCGAAAGAAGAAAACAAAAATATATTTAATTTATGTCGTATATTATGATTTTGTCACCTCAGGTTTAACTGTTAAAAGTTCATAATTTAAACTTAATTAGTGAATTCTTCTTTCTCCAAATCATTTTTTTGTTTCAATCAATAAAGTTTCTCTATCAAGAAATAAAAAAAGTCTTGACTTTTGGGCTTAGGTTAATCTCTACATTCACGCAAGTTTCATGTTCCTTGTCATGTCTTTCCCTTATCAACGCAATAAGAAAGTCTACTAGTGTAAGTAAAAATGAAAGAACAAACAACAATCACATATAGAGTGTAAATATCACATACTATATTTTTTGTGAGTTAAATTTAATGGGTTGATAAGGTTACAATTTAAACCTAGTTGAATCTTTGTTCTTTCCATATTCATGCTACAATTATGAGAAAAAATATGTCATATTATAACATTGCAAATGGAGATTTAATGGCTAAAAGGTCACAATGTAATTTAAACCTAGTCGAATCTTTCGTCATTTTTTATCAACCCTATAAGTAAATATGTCATATGATGAGTCCGTTATTTCGAATCATTTAGGGCTTTATTTTGATAGTATAAGTATCCTCAAATGCTTATTTTATGCTCTAAACTGATGTTAAAGTGTTGATTTGCAGCTTTGGAGGCTAAGGAGCAAGGCAAGGACATTACTAGACAAAAAGGAACTAAAAACCTAAAGAAGTGAAGAAACGCGATCATGGTGATCGCCAAGACCACTCGGTGCACTGCCTAGTGACGCTTTAGCTCGCCCAAAGTTCCAAGGTGCCAACCCTGGAAAAAACCAAGTTGGCAAAGAAATGGCAGTCGACGAATCGCCGATCAGTTCCGCGACAACAAACTGGATCTCCCAAAGTTACTTGACTTGGATGCTGAGGACCAATGCAAAATGGCAATGGAAGAGAGCAAAAGGCGGATCGCCGAACAACTCAGTGAGGCGCGACTTATTCCGCCGAGTGGACTTTTAGGCCAAAATGCAGGCAACTATAAATTGGATTTTAAAAGAAGTTCTCAAGAGTTTTTAGTTTTTGGATCCCCAAGTTTTAGAATTAGAGTTTTCTCTTAGTTTTTGAGTTTTTATTGTAGACTTTGAGGATTTCTAAGCTTAATTTTGAGGATTTGAAAGTGGGTCTTTGAATTTAACCCTTGGAAAACATTGTAAAGGCTTGGAGACTCTTACCCAGTTGATGGCTAATCGAGTTGGTAATTGTTTTTACATTTTTAATTATGTTTAGCTAAAACCCCAATTCTTGGGGTGTGATCATGTGATTATGGGCTGAATTAGCTTATAGGTATTGTTAATTACTAATTTAAATGCTTAGTTGAAGTGGGTTTAATTAATAGCTGTGTTTTAAACTAAGAATTGTTGTTGCAAATGCAATTCGAACTTAGAATTCTGGGCTTACTTAAAAAAGAGGTTTTATAATCAAGGCTTTCAATTAATGATTGTAGTTATTGGGTTGACATGGGTTTAGCTCGAAAGAGTAAAATTCTAAATTTAATTATACCCATATAGCTCGAGAGAGTGGATGAATTAAGATGTGGGTTGTTCTTATTTGCTAAGGTCGTTGATGCTCGAAACAAATCATCTGATTCATAATAGTTGTTCAAGAGAAAGCTATTGCATCTATAGTCTAGCCTATCTGCTGATATTTAGCTATTTATTTGTAATTTCAATTACCCATACAATGAAATTTGCCTATAATCGATCACATCCCGAGAATTCCTCTCTAAATTATTATTTCCTTGGTGTTTGATTGTATTGTAGTTGATAATTGCAAATCCAAACCCCCCATTTGACATTCGTTGTCACCTCTTTAGATTTGTTTGTTTGTATATTTTCGATAATTTCTATTCCTATAACTGATTAGACCACGTTTGCACTTCATAATTGAATTTGAACATGTACCGTTCCCTGTGGGTTCGACCCTAACCTTTCGTTAGGTTTTATACTAGCTAAAGATCGTTTACACCTAGAATTGGATGAGGTGTACTTGAAACGTTAATCATTATACTAAATATATTATCCGCGAGTTAAAAAATTTAACAAACAAAAGATCACAACTTAAGCTTAGTTGAACTTCAATCATCTTCTATCTAAAACCTATATGTAAATTATGCCATATATATATATTCTTTACAAGTTAAAAAAATTAACGGTGAAAAGGTCACAATTTAAATCTGGTTGTATTTTTAATTAGTCCTATACGTAAATTTATGTTATACTATATATATTACTTGCGAGCTAAAAGTTTAACGGCCAAGCCAATTGATTCGATTTTCTCAAAATCAACGAGTGGACTTGAAATCATAGATCTATTTTGTGATCCACGCTACTCAGATAAGAATCCTATATCTTACCCACCCAGTGTTGTTCTGATTGAATTTCAAAGATATCGCTCGCTGTCAAAGAGCATTTTGTGAAGTGTTCTCCAACCCCTTTCACCTGAGATAAAGTCAACTGGAAATCGTGATCGGAGTCGTGGTGTGAAGATGATGATTTGAAGATTCATTCGACAAAGAAGGGTGTCTTGGTTGCCGATACCGAGGTTGATGAATCATTCCACCTGGCAACAGCCAAAAGTGGAGTTTGGCACAGGTCAAAGGCGAAAGCAAGGAGGAATTCCACATTGGAAAGGAAAATGGTAGTTCCAAAAGAAGGACCCTCGGACAAGCTTCCCGGTGTCCAAGTTTCATAAAATTAAGGAGGTTAAAACCAAAACATAAGTGCTAACTTAAATGAAGACAAGTATTATATATTTTGTGTTTATTATAATGTTCTCATACTTTAATTAACATTACACAAAAAGGTACTACTGTCATGCTTAGAAATCTATATGAAACCAAAGTACAGACATTTCTACTAATAATTAATATATCATAGATCCTTATAAGTTGTTGTGGTGGTGATTTGGATCTTGAACATGAATGCCGAAAGATGTATCATTAAGAAAAGTCATTATCTCATCATCATTCAAGCTCAACAACTCAGAAAATGAAGGACTCCGTGGAATACCAAATGGGCCATTAACATTGTTCTCCATTAACACTGATGCATTCATTGAGGGGATATTCGTCGAAGGGTCTATTGGTGGTGCCATTGGAG